CTCAGGTGAACTTCATCCTCTTCGGCACCACCAAGATCTTGTCGCTTCGACCCGACCCGGAGGACAGGACAAACCAGGGCGCGCCGGAGGAGGCGCCGGAGGCCGGTGACCTAAAACATCGGTTCATCCGTTGGTTGGATCCCCAAAGGATTTGGGCCATGGTTGCCCCCATGCCCTCAAGCACCATTTAAGATCCAAGTCACTGAGAACTAATAGAAATTCCATGAACAATTGAGTTAAATGCCTGAAGATAATGGGCCCAAAATGGCCCAAAGATCAGTTCCGCAAAGATCCCAAAACGATGATCGACCACCTCCATGTAGGGACCGATGCCCAAATCTCAGCCAATCTCATGCAGCCACCATTTTGGCAGCGGACCGATGCTAAAGCTTACAAATAACAGCCAAGCTGGGCAGAAGATTGTGGCACAGTAGGAAACACATCCATCCAGGTCTAAATCTCCATCATTTGGGACCAGGGCAGCCAGCCATGACCCGTCCGACCCATCCGACCCCCGATCCGGTTGATGCACGCACGACCGGTCCCGGTTCGACCTGGGCCCCTCCGAGGTCGGTGCTGGGGATCTATCACGATTTCCTCATCGGCGCCCCCTTGCGCCTCATCGGCTTCGCCATCTTGCCGGAGCGCAAGCCCAAGGTTCGCGGGTTCCCGGTGGGTGCCGGTCTACCGGTGAAACGGGTGTGGGGAAAGGTGGTGCGGAAAGTACTTCCACCAGGCACAAGAGAAACAACATAACAACAACAAAACACATATTATCTATGTATACAGTATAGTTTTGTATAGTTTATAGTTATGCATAGTAAATAAATAGTAAATAACGATGATGGTATGTTTTCTCCATGTTACTAGCGTCCTTGGGCATGTTTGTCAATTTCTCAGGCTGTTCAAAAGGAAGAGTTTGCTGGCTGGATCATACCCCAATAAACGGTGCTCATTCAGGCAGAAGCGTGCTCAGTGTTCCTTTTGTTGATTTAATCGCACAAATAGCTGCTGCAGGGTGCAACCAACGTTCCGTGTGGAAGAATCTGGGGGATGCCTTATTTGTGCTTCGAACTTGGTTTCCACCATGCCGGTTGTGGATGGAGAAATCTATAGACGTCCTAAGCAATCCGTTTTGCTTCGATTTGTTCGTCCGTTTTGCAGGATACACCTCTCATTCAGATCAACTGGCCAGGAACAAAGACTCTTGGCACGGGGGACTGGAACTGCTAGGGATTTGTTTGGGGTCTATTTGGACGGGTCAAGAGCCTCAACAGACATCATGACCAAAATGGATGATGTTTGGGGTCGGGACTGATGATCACGGGAGGCGAAACAAAGGTATGTTTCTTAGTGGATCTGTGAATATAGCTAGGGTGTAGCTCATTACTGTCAAAAGTTGTTTGAAACATGTCATCATTTCTACAATCATTTCCGAGAAAGGCCTTTACTAGCCATCATCAT